ATTTTTCGAAATTGTGTACGCTCACGCAAGCTCTTTAGCATTTTCTGATTCTCGCTTTTACATTTTCTGGGTAATTTGGAAATTATTCTTGTGGAAGAATTACATGTCTTGTATTTAGGTAATTAATTTACGCAAGTTTCGAAACTTTTTTTTAACTCAATCGAATGTCAAATATTTGGCATCACGAGTGAATTTCCCGTTGATCGAAATCCAAGTGGAAACTCCTTGGCATCCTGCCGCCAACTTGATTAATTAAGGTCGCGGATAATATAGTAAGTACGACAATCTCGGGATATGTAAATTTTATATAAATATAATTGATCTAACGACGTATCAAAAATGACTCTCACACTTCTGCAGTGTCTAAATTATTAACGCATCATTAAAAGCTTTAATTGTTTATGAAATCATCAAATCGCGAGTATCTTTAGTTGAAATATGACTAATAGTTGAATAAAATCCTTCGATCTAAAGGCTCTCGGTTTCCTGTTGTTTTATCTAAACTAAAAGAATAGCATAAAAATTTGACAATTAATTATCTTAACTGCGAAATTGACAGACAGATTTCTTATTAAATTTGCCTTAAAAGTAAAATTAAATGACAAAATGAATTGATAAAATAAAACATGAGGATGGCTTGTTACATAGAATTATTTTCTAAAGTATTCACTGCAAGTTTCTACGATGGGAAGAGAAAGATACTCTTTAGAAACAGAATAGAATATTTTATCCTGTTCTAACTACAAACTGATAAATTAATACTGCTAAATAAATTGTTACCATACATAAATTGGATTCGACTGGAAATCCTCAAAGACTGGCTATAAGTTTATAGCTACATGTATACACGCGAATACCATTTGTGGAAGAGTGAAACAGCCTGTATTCCTTTCTCACTCGCAGAAGAACTTTGACGAAATTTTATGGCCAGTCTTTGATTAAAGAGTCTCTAGATTCGAGATATGCTTTCGATATGGGCAATCGTTACAAAATCTATCAAGTTCTATGCTGTAAAAAATAACAATATACAATATAAACGAATACATTTATACGAAACGTTTATACGAATAAATAATGAGGGGGAAAAAACCAAATTCGGTCGAGGCTGGATGTTGGTTGGCTAATAATATAATTTTTAAACTTTATGATGCTGCAAACCGCATCTCCGAAAAAAATTATAGCAAGTCCGTGCATTCCGTCAAACTTTACAATTTTCAGTATAGGCAAACATGTTCTCAGATTTAAGAGATTACAGTAGCAAGGATGTATGACATTTAAAATCGACCTGTAATACCTTAAAGTAGAGATTTCAAAATTTTATTTGAAAAAAAGTTTATCATCCTAAGATGATTTTTCGCGGAGTTACCGTTAGTAAAAGTTGACCAATTTTTGCCAAAAATTTTTCTATGCCATAATTTTTTTAAGCAGTATACATATTAGGCAATTATTCAAAAATTAAAACCATTGGGCAACTAACATCTAGTCTTGTCCAAGTTTGGCTCTCTTCCCCCTCATTATTGATCGTATACATACATATATCGGCCTTTGAAATTATTCTTGTTTATACATATATAGCTCTAAATAAGAATAGCTCTAAAGATATAAATAAAAATAAGATATACTTTTGTTTTGCCATCCATGAACTTCTTGAAAAATTTAAATCAAATGTACTCAATTTTACAAGTATATTTTCTGCAAAAGCATTTACAATAATTACAATTTTCTATCAGAAATAATTTTGTTAATATTTGCACTGGTTGCCAAAGCTATCTTGTTTAAGTTTGAGGATTTCAAAGATAATGTGAAAAATCCAAAGTTAAAAGTAATGCAATTATTGCATGTACATAGTATCCAGTTGCTAATAAAATAGATATTCATATGAAGAAATAGAACCAGTGAATTAATATGTAGATCGATGTTTATATACAAATATCAATAAATATTTAGCTTTCACTTTACAAGATAATTAACCTACGAGACAATCACGAATCATGATCTAGGTAATCATGAATATAGATTTCGTAAATATTTTTATTTTAAGATACATTCGATTCCAGTAAATATTTTCGCTTTTGCAGCTATATTGTTATAGAAGGACATTTCATTTATCATACGAAATCAAGACTTGTAATTGTGATGTTTTAAAGCCAAAACATTTATTAAGCTTTATTACAATAAACATGCACATTTTCGCATTTGATGATGCTAAAATTAAAATTTAAAATTAAAACCTCATCGAGTTCCTTCACATTTAAACAATTAAACTTATTGTCAGGGTTGGTTCAAAGAGTTGGATCAAAGTTAATTACTTTATAAAAGTGTGTGTAACTTATTATCGTTCTTTTTTCTGAAAAAATAACTCATTACCATTACCGTTACTTAAATATTAATATTATTATTATTTTTGTTACTTTTTTCTTGACATTAACAGAATATCATATATAAATTTTTGCGACAAATAAATAAAAAATGTCATAAAATTCTATCTTTTTAGTAAAGAAATAAGGCTCAAAACCTGATAAATATAATATATACGTAAATTAAACATATAATATACAAACGTGAAAAGTAAAAATTTCTCTCTCTCTCTCTCTCTCTCTCTCTCTCTTTCTGCCTTTATGTCCAAAGAATCTTCACTTTTCACGTTTCCGCCCTAAAGAAAAAATTACATGATCGATATCCAAAAATCAGAGGCGGCGTTGAAAAAGAGATAGAGAGGAGAACGCTCAGCGCTTATAGGACATTAACACGTGGTGTCCTCTTTGCAGGAATATTCCTTCCACCTCTTTTTCAGCTGAACCGCATCTCAATTTTTGTAACATTTAATCTATTCTTTTCAATTGAACTTCTTGCATCATCTTGAAGAGAAAAGAAGAAAAGACGGGGAAAAATTCAGAAAAAAAACAGACTTATTGATCTCAATCAATGTTATATGCGATGCTATAGTAGAAATATAAAATAACGATAATAGTAACTAGTCAAATCGTTACCTAAAAAACCGTTATCTAAAAAATGTATAAACTGCATTACCATTTAACATTACTCATAAGGAAATGTAACGTCGTTAATACCCATTCGTTACTGAAATATAACAATAACGACGTTATTTATCAATTGTACAAAGTAACGCGTTATTTATCCTGCTTATTACCTTCAGACAATAAGTTGTCTGTAAACGTTTGATATAAATAAGAAAAAGTTATAGTATATTGAATTTCACAACGAAGAAACGTTTGCCTAGAAAACGCGATTGCATAGAAATTGTATATCAAATCATAGAAATTACGTATCGATCGGGCGAGTGCTCAGTATCTCTCTCGTTATCTCTTCGTTGTGAAAATATATTCTGAGGAAGTTTTAACGTCGCGCGCTTAGACAATAAGTGATTACGTAAATCTCAATGTTTTTGAATCGACTGTGAAAGCCTGAGAAACATTATACCGGATGCGCGACTTATATACATATAATATTTGCTTGCGACGTTTGTTGGACTTGGTGATCTGCCAAGGAGTCTACGTCTAATTGTCGACTCGTGTTTGATTGTGCGAATTTAGCATGCATAATTCGCAACAAACTGCGCGTCTTCATATTGCTAACGATGAACGGTCGGCGAAATAGATAAGATTAGCAAATTGCAACGTGACGGCGATACAATTCATATCGGGCGAGAAGAATGTAATTATACGATAACTCTGTAATAATTTCATAGCTCTCGAATCAAAGAAATTAATCGAAGATTAGTTCGATAACACACACGTGTCAATACGATAATAAAAAATATAAAAAATATATTATAAATATCGGGTCAGGTTGTTTTCTCGTGATTTAATTTTATTGCATAATAAAATTTTGCCGCAACGAGCAAACATTGATTACAAATCAATATTGATGAACAAAGTTTTAGAGAACTTGTAAAATTTATGAACAGATTTGTTTAAAAATTTTACATACAATACATTTTATATTATTACAAACATTCATTTCGCAATTTTTACGAGAACATTAACTGTCAAATTAATAAAAAAATATTGTCTCATCAACTCGCTAATAACGCGACAACTTGTAAAATTATTTTTTTGCAGTTTTCAATTAGTACTTTTCCAAACAAAGCGTTGTATGATGATATTAATTCTAGACTAGACTTAATAAGTTATTAATAAGTAAAGAGATAATAAAATATTTCAGGTAATTTAATTCAAAATTTTGTATACAATTTTATTTGTTAACATAAAGACTTGTTGATAAAGACTAAAGTCAAATACACACGAGACAAAAGTAGTATAAGTTGAATTTTATTATAATCAGCGATTAATCGCATTTATCTCAAGGATAATCTTAAATATAAAAAAATAGAAGAACAAAAAAGGGAAAAGAACAAAATGTTTCGACAAATATTTATTTAAAATTGGGCCGCAATTACTCTGCGTGTATTTTATTATTCTATTTTATTTCTATCGTATAAAATAAAAATATATTATAAAAATATTTTCCACATCTTATAAACACGAATCACGTGAAACAGTTGCTTTGTATTCAATGTTAATTAATGCAGGGAAAGTACGCTACAACGAATACTTTGATGATCACCCATTAGATAGCACTGCGTTCTGACATATAAATTCACGGTTTGTTTTATCCTTCGTCTTTTGATAAATCACTGAATTTATAATCTTTAAAAAGTTTAATATACTTGCTAATATTAAACTTTGACGGCAATATAAATTCCAGTGTCAATTGTTACGCATACTTTACTCTTTGTAATAATAATAATATTTTTGTTGACTACAATGGTTGACAATATTTTTACATAAATTAATGTACAGAGAAAACACTGATTATGTTGCAGATAAAGAATATCAAAGTATGTAAGGGAAACTGCAACTAAGCAACTGATGTAATGTCTTACCTGATTATTATTATTAATATAATCAGGTTCATAAGTGAACAATTATTAATTATTATTATAGTTTAAACATAACATAATTTAATCGTACAAATAGAGAAATACAATACAAAAATTAAACAAGGGATAGGAATTTTAAAACATAAGTTATTGTAAACGTAAGCTAAATGAAGTTATACAAGTGTCCTCGAATTTTGGTCGCCACCAATTTTTAAGATACTTCCAATGGATTAATAATAAAATGTTTCTAACAAAAATTTTATGGTTTTAAATGAAGAATTATTTACGTAAGAGAAATTTCAAAATTGTTCATTTTTTTAACGAAAAATCGAATTCAAATTACTTTTTAATGGAACACCATATATTCTTTCTATATTCTTGTACATAAAATGACGAATTAATCAATAGTATTATATATTATTTTGATTATTCGATCTCAAAATAATTCAATTAATATTTATAACGTAATTCACGAATCTGTTGTCGATGACAATGAAAGGAGATATTCGTTGTTATCAACAAATAATCGCTACCAGGCAAGCTTATCAGTAGATGGTACCGACTACGACGAAAAATCACCCAATTGTGTAAGATAAAAAGACGATCTTAAAAGACATCATTCCAGTTCGAGCGCCGAGGTAAACACGTGCTCGTTGCGCTTGTTCGGAGAAGTCGGGCGCGTTCCGCAACGAGGACACGTCATCAAATCATCCAAGTCATAACACGGTCGTATCCCAGCTTCTGAATACGGGAAGAAGACAAAAGGTCGAGCTGCATTTAGATTTGTTTGACGGAGAAACTGGTTGAAGGATGAAGAGACCGCGAACACGTCTCCGTTCGTCGAAAAGCAGCGCCTCTATCAACTTCGAGCGAATGCTGCGTGCGATCCACAACTTCTACTGCGCATCCTCGCTTTTTCTCTTTCTCCCTCCCCCTCTCTCTCTCTCTCTTTCTCTCTGTATAGACCGTATATCTTCTTCTTTTCTTCGCTTCGTGATCGCATCTCTCTTTTTCTATCACTCTCGTTCGATCGTTTCGCATTCTCCGTTACTCTCGCGTTGTAAATTCTCGTCACTCCACTAACTCAGGTTTGCTTTTTATTGCTGTACTGTAAAACGTTTTTTCTCAATTTCGTTAAATATCAAACCTATTTCTGCTATTTCAGTTTAGTAGTACTAAGAGTGTACTATACACTAGTTGAGCTAAAAAAAAACAGACCTTTCGCCTTTTGATTCCCACCACGCGCATTCGTACTTCGTCGTTCATCGAGCGTTCGCTCTCGCTTCCGCTCGCGGTCGAAGCGCGGTAGCGTGACCGACAGCTATATAAGGGGCCGTCTACGGCGCAATGCGCGTCAGTCGTTGCGACGTTTCGGTAACGTGGTGGTCTTTTGTGAGTGTGAAGCAGAAACGAGAGTTAATCGAGCACGGAAGCGGAGTGATAAGGAGAGCGAGAGCGAGCGAGAGTGCGGGTGACGGGGGACGGAGGACGCGGCGCGCGTCTCCGAGAGAGATCGTGATCGCGCATTTAATCGCCACGGCGTCGATGGTGCCTTTGTCCGCGGCTCGACACGGCGGCATGAAATAACGACGGGCCGGAAAGAATCAACGAGGCGGCAGGCAGCGGCGACGTCCTGATTCGAAGCGTCCGTGCTCAGTCCTCAGTGTAGGCTAGTCGGTCGCTCGGCGGTCGTTGTCTCGGCGTTTTTCATCACGATTTCCATCACGACAAGATTTATCCATCCATCTATCCAGCATCTATCCGAGCGGTGTGAAACCAAGGTGGAGAACAATTTTGGGAGAGACGAGGGCTCGCGCCGAAAAAATAAAAAAATATATAACGACTCGACTACACTCGTTGTTGCGGGCCGTAATCTGGACTTGGATTTCACGCGTCGTCGATCACGTCGCAGCGATAACATCGTCTTCCTCGAGGCGCGGCGGAGAGGTGTTACTCCGGCTAGTGAGGAGGTTATCTCCCGGTAGAGACTTGGAGAATCGTTCTCCGGTCTTGTCAGTACGACGTCGTCCACGCGCGCGTTTTTGTTACGAGGGCTGATCCTCGTCCGGGTCAGGCGTTGATATCGATTTCGTCGGCATCCGTTTCCTGACACGCGGGTCCTCGTGAAACGTCGAGGATCTTGAAAGAGCGCACGACAACAAACATGGCCGCCGCGGCGTCGTACGCGTGCACTCGCAACTGCACGGACGCGGCGGAATATCCGCCGTCCTGCAACATTCTCGTTGGAGGAACCGACGAATGGCTGCCTTGGCATGAAATCATAGGATATTTCTCTTATAATCCGTGGATATTCTCCCTGCTTGGCAGCACCATGGTCGGCCTCACGGGTATCTTCCCTCTGTGGCTCATCCCCATCCAGGACGGCGTGGACTTGAAAACCGGCGGTTAGTTCCATCGTGTGCAATCTTTATTATCCGTTGCCTTTATAGATGACATCACGTGAGAGAGAAAATTATTATCTAATCTTCGCTTTTTATCTCGTTCTCGTATCTCGCCGAATAACTTTTTTAATTATGCAATTCGGCTAGATCTATGCGATGTGATTAATGAAGAGAAAAATATTAAGTTTAGTTTCCTGGCTTCGTAGTCGAGTAAAATTCTTATTTTTTCTGTTTTTTTCTGGGATAATTTTATATTCTTGGAAATGTGCACAACGAAAGAGATGAATATCAAATTTTGTTCCTATGGTCATGGCCGAGTCAAATTTTTTATTTTTTCTGTTTTAATAATTTCATATTCTTGGATATGTATAGCGAAATAAAGAAATGAGTATTAAGTTTAATTTTTTTGGTTATTGATGAAATTTTTTAATTTTTTAAATTTTATTTTAACAATATCAGTTTCTTGAATGTGTATAATGAAATTTATCTTGATTACGATTTTTCTTGCTTTGCATTTTAATATAAAAATTGCATATACAGGGTTTCTCCATAAAGATCGCAGCAGATTATAATTTTAAATTATAAGAATTTAAAGTTAGCGAATTTTAGATTATGTAAAGTTAGTGTGCTCGCGATAAAGATTACGTATATAAAGATAAGATTGCTTTTAATGATATCCTTAATTCAAAAAATATAGCCTCGACATTTAGTAGTATGATTTTCGCGCGCGCGCGCGCCTCTTAAAATGATTAGGAATCTATTCTTAAAAGTTGTTACTGCTTTTACAGGATACTCTGTATCTGATCTGTCAATCGGCTGTTCTAATTTTATTATCTGCGGCAAAACTAAAATTTTAGAAAAATATAATACACTTTATATATTCATAAATTTTGTTGCAATGTAGGATTAATATTTTGTATGCCGTGTAAAGAATTTATCGAACGTATTGAACGGAAAGTAAATAAGGACTTTAGTCAGTGAGCTGTTAGATTTTTGTTGAAACTCTACATAGCAGTGAACTTACATAGGGATTGCGTATACGGCGGTTGTAAACGAATACGAAATATTCGAATGCAGATACGTAGTACATACGTCTCCCTATTAAGATAAAATATCAAAGTACACAAGCTTAATACTGATATCTATAACGTCATTGTTTTCCTGACAAAAGAAAACTCATATCGCAAATGAATTCATTGCTTTGTACAAAATTCGTATAAATTCGAGAATTCTTGATACATTAATTCGTTCCGAAAGTTTTTTTTAGAAATATATATAATGAATAAAAAAGTGAATAATGCCACACACAATAAAACTGAAGAATCTTACAATGCGCTACATGAAGGATTGTGTTGGTAGTCATGATTATCACTTATTTACATAGTCGCGGCGTAGGATGGCACGTGTTCAGCGATGTCATTCTTATTTTTTCGAGCAACCCAGATTAGTAATTGCAGAACGATTCTCGTGAATAACGGGCGACAATCTTGATGAAAATTGTCGCAATTTAATATTCGTCAGCATAAATATATAATTTAAATTGCTACGCGTGACAATATGATTATAATTTAAATTCTTATACATATGACTGACTTGCAAAATTATCAATTATCTTAAGATAATGCATTAAGGCATTAAGAATTCTGTAAAGCAGAGATTTTTTTCAAGTTTCTTTCAAATTGTTCTATAGCGCTTTAAAACTTTATGCGCATGGAAGATAAATTGAATTTTAATTTAACTTTAACCAATTTATACTCTTATGTTTAACAATCATATTTCTTTTGGAAATTTAAAACAGCAATTTGATTTGTTCCTTTCTATGTATCGTTTTGTATAATTAATTCGAGTACAGTTATTTTCCACATCTTCCAATATTTCCGCGTTCAAATCAACACTGTAGTTGAAATATTGTTAACAAGTCTAATGATCTTGGATATAGAGGACGGTAACTTCAACACAGCCTTGTAATCAAGTTCTCGCGTAGTTTTGTGTTTAAAAATTTGCGATCTCGTTACTGCTATAACTATAATAACCACAGTAGGATGATTTACTCAATTACCAAAACTTAGAGCAGATAAAATGATAAAAACGAGAGGCAATTATTTTCGTTTATAATATGATTTCTATTGTGTATTTCCATAATACGGCAACAATTGATTTCGATTATTTTCTATAATATTTGCGAAATGATGTGACAAAGTATTATAACAAGTCCATCATTGAATTCGACCTTTTTTTTCATCTCCCTCGTAGAAATCCATTATTAGTAAATATAACTATTCTATTGTTGTAATAAAAGTGAGTCGTTGCACTTCCTTTAACGATAAGAATGACTGGAGTGATTATTTGTCAAAGCTCTCTCCTCGCCGAAGAACGAGCTTTTTAAACGCAGTTAAAAATGGAGTGGCTTTAAATACGCTGTTCACATAAAACGCGGGCGGAATTTCACTTTTTTATATTTATTATGTCACTGTATAGGCATGTATAAGTAACGCATTGAAATGCAGTTTTTTTTCCGCGAACACGTTGATTACAACACGTTAATTACGTACAGAAGTGGAGGTTAAGTATTTTACATTTAAGCGAAATTATATAGGTAATTATATATGCTCGTAGTTATTTCATGCCGATAAGATAGAATAACAGAAAATATCGAAAAATGTAAATAAGTTAATCGCGTTTCATTAATTTAATTGCGCGAACGGAATAGTTTCTGTTTGATTACAAAACATTGCAAACACTATTTAATTTGTCGAAGTGAGTAACGTTGCAGGCAAAGGATAAAAATGGGTTCCTTTATATATCCTATATTGTATTTTCAGCAAAATTGTGTTCTAATATACACAATTAGATATCATTGAGTTCGATAGAGCTAACATTCTCTGCTTGCATCGGTATCGCCACATGTTCAAATTTAAGGATGTACTGGCGCTAACGTTCTAGCATTGACAATAATTAGCAAAGCATTGACTTGAAAATTTAATAAATTATTTCTATTTATTACCTTAAAACATGTGCATCTGAAGTCGAACTCTAACTAATTCACGAGTTATTCAACTTTTAATTTTGCATGAGTTCTTATGGAATATAGCAGCATATTTCTACTTATCAACAAAATGATAAAGAAGCAGCATTGCCAATATTCTGAAACTTTGTGAGTAAATAAAATATTGAACAATGTTTCTAAAAAAAGTTCATATGATTTACTAACTTATTATCAAAATATTAATTGATAAAGCAATAACGCTTGTCACTTATTCTAACCTTGCATTCAACTACGGGATCGCAAGATGTACCAACTTAAAGTGGAGTGCGGTATCAGGCACTCTATTTTGACAAGTATAAAGTGCTAGAAAGACAAATATTATGTTTATGATATTTGTTAACATATAATTTTGTGAACTTTTAAGTATCTTTTGATGTGATATACATTAAATATTATCAATATGTTGTGTCACGGTTTTTCGTTTCTTGCAGTTGATTTCAGGTGAAATTCACGTCCAAAATTTTTTTTCCGATAATCACAAAACTTGTAAAATATACAAATATATTCATTTGTAGTGTCAAATATATTAACTGACATTGTTTAATTCCTTTACGATACATGATACGAGCACGATATGGTGCATATCTTAACTTATAAAAGCATAGAATTTCATCAATTTCAAATTTCAGTCACTTTTGTGTGTGTGGGATTGTATAGCCAGAACATCCTTAACTACGCACAAGGTAACGGACAGCCTGTTGTCGACAACGGCTGCCAACAAAACCGATGCATATACATTAATTGTTTCCACCGAGAGTTGCGAAATAACGGGAAATTCGATGTGTATGACGCGCTTCGTTTGTATTTATCATTCTGATAAGTGACATCTACGAGGTTCAATGACATTACGAAACATCAGATTCTTCTTCGACTCGATAAAATTGGTCTTAGCATGTATAACATCGATAAGTCAATTCCGTTCGACGAATTATCATACAATGTTTATTGTGCGACCTGAATGCTGTGTCGCTGTATTTTAATAGCTAAAGATTAAAAGAAGGATGGCACTTTAGTGCCACAATTTGCCCATGAAGGAAACGTTTAAAATCAGTTTATTTTTATATTATTGGATCTGCTGCACTCGAATACAAACCTTAATATTGTCCACAATGCGAACTTTGTGAAAATGTAGTTTTTCTACACGAAAGCCTCGTTTTGCAACCAATATTTCTTAATGACCAAATAATAAATGTGAATAAAAGAAGTTCTTATATTAATGTTTGAGAAAGAGAAAGAGAGAGAGAGAGAGAAAAAGAGAGAGAGAGGGAGGGAGGAGGAGGAGGGCCGCTATATTTTGTGGGCTAGACATCTTATCATAAAAAACTCGATTACATTATTTCTCATAAATAAATGAAGAAATAAGTTCGAATGTATACAGGGTGTCCCAAAATTCACGGATTAGGAGTACAGGACATGATACTTTGTGTTAAAAGGAATAACTTTTTTCTTTAGCAAATTTTGATCTGACAAGTAATTTTGGCAGGAGAGTTGGTTAAAGTTAACGAATAATCGCTTTTGTCCCTGCGGCGCTCAGGGCCGGCGCGCGCTTCTCCATTCACCTGTTCTTAGTCCTTGGCTAATATTTACAAGTAATGTCTTAAGATACGGCTCTGTTATAATTAGTTTACGACATTTTAAGATTGTGTTTAAGACAGTCTTAAATATTAAGAATCAATTATAAATATCTTTTATTGCTTGAAATATTAATAGTTAATAAATAAATATTGATTTAAAAAAATAAAATCAAATAAATATTGATAAATGGTATCACTGAACTTAAATAGTTTACTAATTCTTAAGTAAATCCTCAAGTGCTGAAAAATTGCTTTATTGTGTAATAGTCTGTTACATTCTTAATATTTAAGACTGTCTTAAACACAGTCTTAAACTAATTAATAACAGAACTGTATTAGTATCTTAAGACATTACTTGTAAATATTAGCCAAGGGCTAAGAAC